GCTCTGACCTGCGAATGAGCTCTTTCCTCTGTTTTCTAGGTACCTCGTGAATCCCTTCGCCAACGCTTGCCTGCTCGATCTGCTACTCCTCGACTTACCAGTCTCCTTTTCTCCCTGAGGGTGTCAGCTGCCAGGGGACAAGGCTTTCTGCAGACTTCTTTCCTGGCTTGATCCCAGTTCCTGGAGCCGGCAGTGGGCACAGAGGCCCACAGGACAGACGCTTGCTGAGTGCAACCGCTCCCGCTCGGGAAGGTCCCCCACTACTTGCACCCACTACCTCCCCTCCCAGAGAAGCAGAGGTAGAAGCAGGAGCCAGCTTTGGGAAACGACATGGTTTTACTGTTGTCTTTGCAGTCGCTTTTTAGCACAGTAAGAACGTCCCCGCAGGCCCGCCCCCCTCACCCAGCCCCACGCCTCCAGCCTATGTCATGGTGTGGGTGAAGCCTTTCTAGTGGTCACTCATCTGTCTCGGGATTTGACGTGACACAAAGGTACTTGGGCTAAAGCTTCTACANCATGGTTTTACTGTTGTCTTTGCAGTCGCTTTTTAGCACAGTAAGAACGTCCCCGCAGGCCTGCCCCCCTCACCCAGCCCCACGCCTCCAGCCTATGTCATGGTGGGTGGGAAGCCTTTCTAGGGGCCACTCATCTGTCTCGGGATTTGACGTGACACAAAGGTACTTGGGCTAAAGCTGCTACACTGAAGAATGGCCACGTGGAATGTGCATCGTCCTTTAGCTTGGTGGTGAGAGCCATGGCTGAAGTGCCGTCCCTGTATTGGGCCCAGCCCAGGGAGCAGGGCGTGGGCAAGCCTAAGCAGGCCAGGTGACAGCCCCAGAGCCCTGGGACACAACACTGCAGCCTCTCGCCCCACAGACTGGTAGGTAGGAGGAGTTTGGGGACAGACAGACGCCTCCTGGGGCAATGCCGCCCCCACTCCTGCCGACCTACACCTGTACCTATCTTGTTCGTGTGCCCCCCTTCCAGACACAGAAGTAAATCGGCACCCACCAGACACTGGGTCACCTGCGAGTTGAGGGCCCCTGGCACCTCCAGCCCACCAGTCATCTCCAAGACTTTGTTCCCAGGGGAGGGAGAGCTCTCGAAGGCCCTGCCAGCAGAGGGGCATGCGACTGGGACCCGCCCCGACAGGGGTACGGTTGATTCCTCCCTTCTGCAGCCTTCTGCCCTCCCCCCCCCCCCCCCCCCCCGTCAGGCCTGGAATAACCTCATTGTGCCTGGAGCCTGGGAGGATCTGCCCGGTGGTCGGTGGCGGGGCTGCCATCCCGGCCCCAAGCCTCGACCAGTTGGACACGAAGGTTACACTCGGATAAATGTTGCCATAGGAAACCTAGGCCTGGTCTGAGTGATCCCCGAGGACAGACTGGGCACGGAAGTGACGGCCCCGCATCCCTGGCTTCCTATCCCCAGGGCTTCGACATGTACAGAGTCAGAGGGACGGGACAGGTTGGGCTTGGCCCAGAGGTGTCTGAGTCCCTCCCAGAACCTGATGACAGGGCACCAGACGTCAGCAAGCTGGTCACGTGTGGAGTTGGCCAGTCTGGCACTCATGCAGCCTTCCGGCCCGATGGAAACTCTTGGGGAAGGATAGGCTTGGAAGGAACTGGTCACGTGCCCCGGGGTCCTCACCAGGGGTGTCCAGGGGAACGCAGCAGGGCCTGTTTGTGCAGATGCTCAGAGCAGCTTTTGGTGTGCCATACGCTAAGGGGTGGGGTGTCCTGGATCCCTAGTGTTTTTGGTGGCCCCTATGGTCTTGGGACTCGAGGCAGGATGAGCTTGGAGGGAGCTAGCCGTGTGGGGGTCTCCTTGTGCAAGTGCACTGGAGGGGCGTCCCGTGCTGGTGGCTAGAGAGCCTAAGGGAGTTCAGGTTTGGCAGAAGCACCAGCCTGGCAGAAGACCTCACCTGCCTGTATTTGTGCAGCACACTAGGGCTACGTCATTTTCTGAGGGCAGATTTTGTGAGGGAGAGCCCATTGGCTAAGCAACCAACGGGGCCTCCCAGGGCCCTCGGGAAGGCTGACTTGGCCGTAACTGACAGAGCAGGGCGGGGCCTGTTTGCACATGCGCAGTGGGCATTCCAACTACCGTTGCGGGCCAACGGCCGGGGCTTCGTGTGGGGGACTCATTCCCTCAGGGGTGGGCTTAGAGGGTGATCGTGTTCCAGGTGGGCTCTCGGGGAAGGTGTGGCAGCCATGCAGGCGCCAGACCATGGCCTAGGTGGCACGATGGGCAGCTCAGGGGGCCAAGGGGGCAGTCGTAGCCCCCAAGCCACTGATCGCCAGGGTACCTCAGGCAGCACCGAAGGCAAAGATGGCGGCAGCAGTCTTGATAACCTGGGTGGCCTGAGGGGTCCTGAGGGCCAAGGTGGTCCTCACAGCCAGGCTATACCTGGTGGCCAAGGTGGCCCCAGCATGGAAGGAGCAGTGGATGAAGTGGCCGTCGCTACTTTCCAGGGCAAGCAGACACCACAAACCCCAGGAACAAGTGGAGATGCTGCGCCCTCAGCTGTAGGGCCTGAAAGCCGACTGCTGGAGTTGTATCCTGTCCAAGGAGACCCCTGGGCAGGGGCAGTGGGCAGGGGGAGCGGGGAGGGGGTGGATGGGCACGGGGAGGATGGGATGGGCCAGGCACTGCGTTTGTGGGCGGGGTGCGGTGAGGTTGGTGGCAGCCTATGGAAGGGCCAGAGTGGAACACCAGGGCAGCAGGAGCGGGCATCCTGGGAGGACAGGGAGTTGTCTGTGCCTTTACAGGCTGCAGGGGGGGGAAGAAGGCCTGAAGGGGGGGGGAGGCGGCTCCG